TGTAAAAGTAGAAACATTCAGTGAGTTCCATGACTTTGCTGAAGAGGGCTGGGGACTCCAGCCAGCCTAAACCTGGCCCAATCTGAACAAAACTTGTCGTTTGCATAAACGTTTAGTGAAACATCACACTGTCACAGGAGTGAATGATTGATAACTCCTTGAGTTGCCTGTTCAGAGAGTGTTCTTCTTTGAAGATGCTGGCAAGCTCTAAGCAACGAGGGACGTGTGCTTGCTGTGCCGAGTAATCGCAGGGGTCATTTTGCAGTGTTCATGACTTTGTTTTCTTCATTGGCGTTTATTTACCACTTGCAGTTCACACACGTCGTCGATCGATCCATCTTCTCCAGCTTGAGAGATGGGTGTGACACGAGCCGGGGTATCGGCAGTGGCCAATCATCCGACTGAGCATATTTTTTGCGTCATGCATAAATAAATCGTTAATGCTGTTTTTGAGTGTGACCCCAAAGCAGGAACGATATATTCAGTCAATGCCTGACTTGCAACAGCACGCAGTTCTGACAGTAAAATGTCAATGATTGACCGACTGTTGGTGGATATTACAGTCATCATCACTCATAAGTTTCTCCGATTGTAGGTGTTTAAGAGCCATTCTACATATGGCTTCACAATTTGTAGCGATTCTGATGGTATTTTGTTTACTAATGTACGGAACCTTTCCTTACTTATGCCAGATCTGCAGGTTTTTCTCTAGTTAAGCGTTCAGTAGAGCATTCCGATTTATCAACTAAAAATATGTGATACGGCCTTAGCATCTAACATGAAATAACGTTGGTTACGAGCCAGTAAAATGGCGCGAGTGCTGGAATACGAGGAAGCCATGTGCTGTCTATCAAATTGCCTCAGTGGCCACTTAGGCACCTCAGAGTAGGGAAGCGGCAGAACACGAAATTAAATCCAGTTGTGGGGAGTAGAACACCCATCTTACAATGCACGCAGTTCACAAGAAACGACAATAAGTAAAAAAAGAATCTGTGCTCTTTGGAAGGTGGATTTGGAAGCTCCAGAGGACATAATGAATTTCGTATCAGTCTGATGGATGAAGAGTTATGAAAAGAGGAGAGAATTACATTTGATTTTATCCGAACTCCAAAGCACCATGTATACAACATACCAGAAAGACACTGCAGTAATAAAAAATAAATATATGGCAAAAGACGTGGAATATGTGCAAAAAACAGTTTCAACTAATACAGGTCGCTGAACGGAAACCAAGCGATAACAGATATAACAATAAGCGGAGATGCGATGCGATGCAGGACATCGATCAGCGTCAAACTGAGGCGAAAGGTGATGACCGACAGACTACTCATCGACGCTGTGAACCGTACTCTTGCGAAGGATGAACGAGACCCACAGTTCACGAATGCCGACGATGACCATGACCACATTTTTGATGATGAAGAAGTAGGCGTCATTGGACACCTCTGCGGAGCTGTAGACACGGGCGCGAATGATCAGGTACGGCAGGTTGACGGTCAGGAAATAGAACAGCGAATAGACCTTCTCGTACGGTAGCGGCACCCAGCGCGGCAGGCCGATACGGTAGCGTAACTTGAACAGACTGAACATGGGCAGGATGAAGTTGAAGCAGGCCAGCGCCAGAATGAACATCTGTAACGAGAAGTTGCGGTTGATGGCCAGGTTGCGGTGCTTGTCAATCAGCAGCTGCAAGAACAGTACGCTGTCCATGATGTCCAGGGTGATGCTGCTGGCCAGGTAGCTCAGGTAGATCTGGCGAGGCCCGTCGATGCGGTTGAAGTGGTGGCTGAGCACCAGCAGCAGGTAGATCAACGCCGACAACGACAGCACGAACTTGAGCGAGTTTGGTCCGAGCAGTTCGTGCTTCGAGATCACCGGCTCGACCAGCAGGATGATGACGCAGATCTTGGCCGACAGGATCACCGAATAGACCAGCCAGGCGACGAAAGCGTACCGTATGTTCGACTCGTCCTCGCACTCGCCGCGGTTGCACCG